CGTACCCACTGTATATAATTAAAAAAAAAAAAAAATTATTTTACCATAAGCGTTTTCTATTGTTATTTTGTGAGATTGATTTATTAAATAACATCTAGTCTCCTCATTAAACTGTTCTGATGCATGACTCATCGTCATTAGCGCTGTAGTTTCACACAGTTGCATGCAGAGTCCAAAGTGAACACTCAGCAAGCGCCAAATGCTTGTAATAATTGGTTTTGGCAAGGACTAAAACAAATAAAACTGGCCAGTTGGTTGTTTTTAGGAAACAAAACAAGGTTAAAAACAGTCAGTCTGTATCAAAACAAGCAATCAAAACCCAAGGAGCAAGATTACATTATTATATTTGTGTGTGTGTGTGTGTGTGTGCGCGCCTTCATATGCATGCTTATCTGCGACTATATTACAATACATCATGGTTAGTGGATAATTAAAATATTAAAGAAACAAAGATTTATTACAACATTATTTTATTAGGCACATAATTGATAACCCTGCGCTTAAAGTTTTAGCACATGTCATGTAAGCTGAAGTTAATAATCTCTGTGGGTGTTGTGCAGTGATATGGGGAACATATGTTTGACATCATAGCTGTTTAATCGTGTGCTTGTGAATGACTGGAACGCTGAACTGACCAATCAGCTTCCAGAACCATCCATTTTATAATGTATTATTTACCACAGTATTTTGGAAGCAGCGATTTCTACATTTGAGCCGAGTGTTGGCCGCTCTTGAAAGGCTGCTGTGAAGGATATGCTGTTCAGAGACGACATAGTGTGTGTCTGTGTGTCTGTGTGTGTGTTGGGGCTGCAATATATAAAAGGCAGATCCTCTTGAGCCAAATGAGTAGGAAGTACACATGGCTTGAGCAAACAGTGGTAATAAAATTCAGCATTAGCTGCTGAAGCATATCACATTCTCTGACCCTGCAGCCAACTCTCCACACAAATACTGCAGCTCCAAACATGCCTATTTAGACCAATTGCTTTTACAGTTTTTATGCACCTCATAATGTTCTCTGCAAGGTGCAAGCTTGCTTTTCATTTTTAATCAAGATTTAAAGCACTTCAAAGCCGCATGTTTAATCAGTAAGTCTGTTAAATCTATCATTACCCTGCAGAAAATCCAGCTATATCTAATGCTAGTTTGTTTTGCTTGGTTTCTGGATGGTTATTTACGAGCTGGACTAGCTGGTGAGACTGACCTGTTTAAGCTGCTAGGATCTTGGGTTAGGTTATGTTACAAAATAACATTTTGAGCAGCTTGACCACTTTATTTGACTTGTTTTGGCCAGAAAGGTCTCTGTAAGGTTGTGCGATATTTATCGTCTGCAATAATATCGTAATTGTTGTTTTAACGATGTGCGATTATCGAGTCATTTGCTAAAAAACAAAAACACGTCTTGAAAGTCCAAAAGCATGCACTGTGATGGTGTGATGAAGCTTATTCGAAAGTTAGAATGACCCTATAAATCTATCAATAAATATCAGCCGTTTTGAATGAATCATTTGAGTCAATGATTCAATAATCCATTCATAAAGACCATCACTTGCTTCGTTTCTAAATGAATCAGCCATTTTGAACGAATCATTTGAGTCAATGATTCAATGATCCATTCATAAAAACCATCACTTGCTTTGTTTCTAAATTAATCAGCCATTTTTAATGAATCATTTGAGTCAATGATTCAATTATCCATTCATAAAGACCATCACTTGCTTCGTTTCTAAATGAATCAGCTGTTTTGAATGAATCATTTGAGTCAATGATTCAATGAAACATTCATAAAAACCATCACTTGCTTTGTTTCTAAATGAATCAGCCGTTTTGAATGAATCATTTGAGTCAATGATTCAGTGATCTATTCATAAAATCCATCACTTGCTTTGTTTCTAAATGAATCAGCCGTTTTGATTGAAACATTTGAGTCAATGATTCAATTAATCACCCATTAAGACAGGGGCTTGCTGCCACCTCCTGGCGGTTTTAGTGTCATATTTATTTATCCTTGACAGGTCTAAACCAGCAAAGGTAACAGCACAAAAACACACTCAGCAAAATATCATTTAATTATCATCATCAAAAAAATCAAAATAAATATAAAGATATAATTTTTTGTCAATATTGCACATGCCTAGGCCTAACTTCCAACTTGAACAGGAAGAGACCAACTGACTAACATGCAAAATGACCAACCACAGTTTGTTTAGTATCCCTTTTTCACATATTTTGACCACCCATACTGTTTTTTTCAGGGTATATAGAGGAGGCCTGCATCGTCCCCTGCCCGTCTGATTGTAAACTCAGTGAATGGTCCAACTGGTCTCGCTGCAGTAAATCCTGTGGCAGTGGGGTCAAAGTTCGCTCAAAATGGCTCAGAGAAAAGCCTTACAATGGAGGAAGACCCTGTCCAAAACTGGATCACCTTAACCAGGTAAACATCACGCTTCTATATGCATGGAGGAATCAATTTTGAAGGTATTAAATGTTCAATGCATGGTTTTATATAGATATAGTCCATGACATGAAGGCGCAGGGGTTTTCAGATAAATATATTTATTAAATTAATAATTATAATTAATATAATAAATTAAATAAAGCAAAGAATTTTAAAAGTATTAGATGTTAAATTACATTGTTTTATATGGATATAGCTCATGACATGGAGGCGCAGGGGTTTCAAATAATAAATTTGCTTAATAAAATTATCAAAGGAAAGAATTTTGAAGATATTAGATGTTAATGTACATTGTTTTATATCTTACACATTGAGTACCTTTTATATCTTAATACTACCTAGCATACTAACTGAAATGGAACCTACAATACAGATTTGCATTACAATTTTGGATTACAATCTCACAGATACAACAGATCTTGGCATAGTATATTGTTAACAAAGCATATTCTAATTAGCATAAATATACCAGTGTTATTATAGTTAACTAAAACTAAAACCATTCAAATAAATTGCTACTTGAAATAAAGTTTTGTGTGTTTAACTTGAAGTACTAAAATAACTAAAACTAAATAAACTAAAATTAATAAACAAACATGAATAAAAATAAAAAAAAAACTAATAAAAATAATAACACCAAAACATACATAGCATGTGCAAATACTGCATTAAATACTACCATTTTATTTGGATTCAGCTTTTTTATTGCTACTTTTTGATGGTGAATAAATTATAAGTATACTTAAAATCATTTCTCTTTCCTCATCCCTCATTTTAAATGGGTGAAGTTTGGATGGAGCGTATTGTAATTAATTGTAGGATTGCCAAAGGATACATGAAGTGCTACCTTAAAATTTGTCCAAAAGAAGGTATCAAGCATGCTGATTTGTCATTCCTTAAGGCGTAGAAGTACACCTGTGATATCTTAAAATACTGCCTACATAGGCAGTTCACTAGGCTTTGGAACAGAGTTCAAAGTTTCCCTCAATTTCTGGAACCGCTGGCTTTGATTATGCAGTGAAGATCCAAAAATAGGTTCACAAGTGAATCTCAAATTATTCAGAAATGCGTGTCTTTTCATCTCTGTTTTTTATTGAGATTTGCTAGAAATAGATGACTCCACATCAGAGCGTTTCTGAGATCTTTGCTCCTGACAAATATGCACTCTTGGCTTTGGTTTAATTTAAATGCTCTCCTTTTATTAGTTAATGGATTATCAGGGTGGTTACAGGTTATGCTGTTTTACATTTGACGAATTTGAACATGTCTAGAGAAAGAAATGACACAGACTTCTCTACTCTGTCAGTGTGAAATCAAAATTAAACCTACAGTATTTATTTTCTTAACAGACATTTCTGGTCTTGTAAACTGTATTTCATGTTGAGTTTGAGCAATGCCGTTTTTAAAAAAGATATACAATAATAAGAAGTGCATTCTTAACTAAACATGATGTTTTATGGTGCTTTGGTCTCTAGACGCAGATGTTCTAATGACTAATGATTTTTCCATAACTCTCCAATAATGCTGCTCGGCCACAGGCACAGGTAATAACGCTTTCTTCTCATAAATGGTGTTTTTTCTTTCTTTCTTTCTTTCTTTCTTTCTTTCTTACATTTCTCATTCCAGAGTTAATTTAAATTCCTCTTATGGATTTTATGTTGTTGTGTTTGTCACTGTGGTGCGCGATTACAATTTTTAAAGCATTAGAGGCACAAGTGCCATGCTTTTGTTGTGAGAACTACTAGATATGTCAGATAAACTATAAACCTACCATGAAAAGTTGCCTCCCCTCAAAAAATGGTTTGTCCCACTTTAAAACTATGGCACCCTAGCAACTGGCGCACTTGAATCAAAATTATTATTTTGAAATAATCTGTTGAATTAATGTCCCAATTGATTGATTGATTTTATTGAATTCTAATTGAATTATTTTAATTGAATACTTAATTGATTTTAATTTTTGAGTTGAATTTTAATTTATTTATTTTGTGCATTTAATTTTGCTCTTTATTATGTGTATTTATTTATTTATTAATGCCATAATCTTGAGTTAATATTCTGATGGGCGTTTTTGTTTATTTATTTATTTAACTTAAATTATTATTATTATTATTATTATTTTGATTTAGGTATTTATCTAATTATGACATAATATGTTGAATTAACATTGGTGTTTATTTATTTATTTACTGAAATCAATTTTAATTAAGTAATATTTTTGTATTTCCTTTTTTTATTCAATGTATGTTTTATTTTTCTTTCTAGAAAAAAAAGCACACAGAAATCAGGGCTTTAAACTGCTTTTAGACCCAAATTTTAGTAACTGCAAAAACCAAAATTATTCATGTTAAATTTAGTACATTTGTGTTGAATAGAAAATAAAGCAGTTCATATACAGTACAGTAATAATTAGTTTGACCTTTAACTGAACATTTTATTGTACCCCTTTTTTGTGAAAAGTTCCTTGTATTATTCAGACCAGCTCAGCTGCTTCAGTGAGAAGTGTTGGATTGTGTATGATTGTATATGTGTGGATGGTGGTCTCGCGTTTCAGGTCTATGAGGTGGTCCCGTGCGTCAGTGACTGCAGTCAGTATATCTGGGTAGCTGAACCCTGGAGTGTGTGGAAAGTCAGTAACGTGGATCTGAAGGAGAACTGTGGCGAGGGCGTTCAGACCAGAAGAGTCAGGTGAGAGTCAAAGATGCCTTTCCTCATATCTATTTTACTGTTACTCCATCCATAACCCTCTGATATTATACTGTGCTCATCTTTGATGGTCCTGCAGGTGTATGTTGAACACAGTGGACGGTCCCACTGATGCGGTGGAGGACTATCTGTGTGATCCAGAGGAGATGCCACAGGGCACGAGGGAGAACCGACTGCCCTGTCCCGAGGACTGTGTGCTGTCCGACTGGAGCCCCTGGACCCCATGTGACCTGGTCAGGATTATCACTAATCCGTTTAAACCCTGTTCACACTAGGGTTGCATCTCGGCATTAATTTTATCTCTGCATTATTTCACTTCTTCTCAGAATTGACCCTAGTAATGTCACATTTCAGAGGAGATCTCAGCAATGACTCAGACGTTGCATCAGATTTGCCAAGAGAGCAAAGTCTGCAATCAAAAGATCTCAATATAAACACAAACATTTCTCCGAACAAATAAACGTAGCTGCTATCCACAATGTTTTTTAGCATTATGCGCAATATTTTGAAATGGTCTTTATTTTTCTATTTTCAAAATTCTAATTTTTAAATTTTAGTATTTTTGTTATGTGCTTCTGTCATTTTATTTTTTATAGTTTGTTAGTTTTATGTTTGTTTAGATTTATTTTAATTTCAGTTTTAGTTTTTTAGGAATTGTAGCACTTCAACTTTTTCAACAATTTATTTCTAATTTTCATTTAAGTTTTTTAAGTTTATTTATATTTTATTTCAGCTTCATTTCAAACCCAAAAATTATTTTTTATTGGTTTTTAATTAATTTTATTTTTATTTTTTTATAATTCTGTTTAGCATTAATTTATTTATTTCAGTTTTAGGTTTAGTAATTTTAGAACTTAGTTATTTATTTCAGTTAGTTGCCAAGGCAACATTTCTCATTTTGCTTTAAGTTATTTAAGTTTTATATTGTTTTAATATTTATATTTTATTCCAACTTTATTTAAATCCCCCAAATAATAGCAACACTGATTAACAATAACAACACTGTTTTTTTTTTTTTTTAATCCTAAGCATCTGAGACATGTCTAAGAAATCCCTTAAATCTGAGCAATAACACTTTTGGCTTATGCTAACAGAGATATGGTTTTATTCTGGGTTTTATGATTTCAGTTAGAGCCAACTGACACTGAGGCATAAATAGTGGCTTAAAAAAAATCAGAGCAGGTCACTTGTTAATCAATTTTAATTAAGTAATTTTTTTGTATTTCCTTTTTTTATTCAATGTATGTTTTATTTTTCTTTCTAGAAAAAAAAAGCACACAGAAATCAGGGCTTTAAACTGCTTTTAGACCCAAATTTTAGTAACTGCAAAAACCAAAATTATTCATGTTAAATTTAATAATAATAAATTTAAAATAAAGCAGTTCATATACAGTACAGTAATAATTAGTTTGACCTTTAACTGAACATTTTATTGTACCCCTTTTTTGTGAAAAGTTCCTTGTATTATTCAGACCAGCTCAGCTGCTTCAGTGAGAAGTGTTGGATTGTGTATGATTGTATATGTGTGGATGGTGGTCTCGCGTTTCAGGTCTATGAGGTGGTCCCGTGCGTCAGTGACTGCAGTCAGTATATCTGGGTAGCTGAACCCTGGAGTGTGTGGAAAGTCAGTAACGTGGATCTGAAGGAGAACTGTGGCGAGGGCGTTCAGACCAGAAGAGTCAGGTGAGAGTCAAAGATGCCTTTCCTCATATCTATTTTACTGTTACTCCATCCATAACCCTCTGATATTATACTGTGCTCATCTTTGATGGTCCTGCAGGTGTATGTTGAACACAGTGGACGGTCCCACTGATGCGGTGGAGGACTATCTGTGTGATCCAGAGGAGATGCCACAGGGCACGAGGGAGAACCGACTGCCCTGTCCCGAGGACTGTGTGCTGTCCGACTGGAGCCCCTGGACCCCATGTGACCTGGTCAGGATTATCACTAATCCGTTTAAACCCTGTTCACACTAGGGTTGCATCTCGGCATTAATTTTATCTCTGCATTATTTCACTTCTTCTCAGAATTGACCCTAGTAATGTCACATTTCAGAGGAGATCTCAGCAATGACTCAGACGTTGCATCAGATTTGCCAAGAGAGCAAAGTCTGCAATCAAAAGATCTCAATATAAACACAAACATTTCTCCGAACAAATAAACGTAGCTGCTATCCACAATGTTTTTTAGCATTATGCGCAATATTTTGAAATGGTCTTTATTTTTCTATTTTCAAAATTCTAATTTTTAAATTTTAGTATTTTTGTTATGTGCTTCTGTCATTTTATTTTTTATAGTTTGTTAGTTTTATGTTTGTTTAGATTTATTTTAATTTCAGTTTTAGTTTTTTAGGAATTGTAGCACTTCAACTTTTTCAACAATTTATTTCTAATTTTCATTTAAGTTTTTTAAGTTTATTTATATTTTATTTCAGCTTCATTTCAAACCCAAAAATTATTTTTTATTGGTTTTTAATTAATTTTATTTTTATTTTTTTATAATTCTGTTTAGCATTAATTTATTTATTTCAGTTTTAGGTTTAGTAATTTTAGAACTTAGTTATTTATTTCAGTTAGTTGCCAAGGCAACATTTCTCATTTTGCTTTAAGTTATTTAAGTTTTATATTGTTTTAATATTTATATTTTATTCCAACTTTATTTAAATCCCCCAAATAATAGCAACACTGATTAACAATAACAACACTGTTTTTTTTTTTTTTAAATCCTAAGCATCTGAGACATGTCTAAGAAATCCCTTAAATCTGAGCAATAACACTTTTGGCTTATGCTAACAGAGATATGGTTTTATTCTGGGTTTTATGATTTCAGTTAGAGCCAACTGACACTGAGGCATAAATAGTGGCTTAAAAAAAATCAGAGCAGGTCACTTGTTAGACAGTTAATAAACAGCTAGAGGAGAAATATGAGAGAATTATGAGCTCATTAACATAAATGAACAGCAGTCTGTTTTATTGGTCTCTTAAAGCCATGTTCTGGAAGAGGAGATCGAGAGAGGACGGCGTTTGCCCTGCGTCTGCCTAAAGAGGGAGAGGACTGTCCGGTTAGCATGCAGACCGAGCCCTGCCTCCTGAACCGCAACTGCTTTCACTACAGTTACAACATCACCGGTGAGTAGACCAATGGTGCGTCCCAAATCGCGTACTTATGCACTATTCTATGATGTTTTTTTTGTATAAATAGTGCGAGTATTGCATTCACACTGAAAATTCCAAAAAGAAAAAGTGCACTTTAAATACCCGGATGATGCACTTAAATAACGGAAAAAATGAAGTGTGGAATGTTGGACACTTCATGCACTCAACTGTCTCAGCTTTAATTACGTAGCGAAGGGGGAGGGGCTATCAGACTCCGGGGGGAGGGGCTATCAGACCCGTTTATGCATGACAAAATAACTTTATATAATTCATGCACTACATGGTTGAGTACATAGTGAATAAGTACATGAGTGCATAGTGTATAGTGCGTCCAGGGCCGTCTTAAGATAACCAAAGGCCCCTGGGCTACAGCATTACAATTCCTATTTTTCTATCCCCAGATTTAAAATTGAAACTTTGAAGCAGCACTATTTATGGAACACAGATGACATACAGATTACTTCCAAGCAAGTTACTGAACTCTCACTGTATGACGTTACAGAACGTTGTCCGGTCCAGTTCCTTTCACACAGCAGTGTTGTGTTTCTGTTAATCTGCGTGTTGACATAAAGATACTCTCGTGCTGCGGTTAATTACTAGCGAATGCATTGTACATTCCGCTTACAGTATATCGATGGAACACGTGGAACATACCAACTATACAAACTGTGTGGGGGAACCTAAACTGAGCCATTCACTATATAGGCTACTACAACCAGGGAGTCGCTGAAAATGAGTGTGTGAGTTTGTTTACAGAACACTGTTGTCACTGCTGCAAACTCCCATATAAATAATTATTAAAAAAATAGAAATTTCCCTGCAGCCAGTGGGCCCCCTTTCCAGTGTAGGCCCCTGGGCTTCAGCCCCTTGAAGCGCGTGCATTAATGCACCCCTGAGTGCGTAATTTGGGACGCAGCTCAAAACTGCAAAGTGTTTCCCCAAACAGGTTTCCTAACTATGGTTACTCGATTTGGAGCAAAAATCTTAATTGAATGCAAATTAAAATCCAAATAAATTAATTAATTAATTAATTTAAAAAAAATACAGGTTTGCTTGGATTGTTTCTAGGGCTGCACATTTTTGCCTACATTTTGGCCAACACTTTATAACAATATGGCTATAAAATAATAATAATAATAATAATAATAATAATTTGTTATTTTTCATAGTTATTATTTATAATGTTTAATTTATTTTAAATAATAATTTCAAAATGTGATTCTTATTTTTTTTTTTTTAGTTAAGCCCTTGTTTGTAAGGCTGCACATGGCCAATAATAATAATAATTATTATTTTATTATTATTATTATTATTATTATTATTGGCCAAATTGTGCAGCACTAAAAACAAAGGTGTTTAAAAAAAATATTATTAGTTATTCTTATTATTGGCCATGTGCAGCCTTAAAAACAAGGCCTTTAATAAACAAAACAAAATTAATCAAATTTTAAATTATTATTATTATTACTACTACTACTACTACTACTACTAACTAACTAACTAACTAACTAACTAAAAATATATACATTTCTAAATAAAAACAAAATAAGAAATATTGGTACTGTAATATTTCACTGTAAAATAAAAAAATCAAGTATTTAAGAAAAATAACAACTATAATAATTTAATATTTTACATTACATTAAAATGCTAAAATAGTTATATTTATGGCTGTCTTAATTTCCCAAATGGTTTGCCAAATTGTGTTCTTTCTAAAGTTAATGTGACATTAATGAGCCAAATAAATAAATAAAAAAATTAAAACTTTTAATTTTTCTCATAAAACCTTCTGTTTCTCTCTAAAAATACACCACAGTACTGCAGTAAAATTGGTTGTGAATGCCGTTTCTTGCTGACTTTAACACTTTTGTCTGCTCTTTGGCTGCCTGTGGTTTTTAAGTCCTTCTGGTCTGTGCATTATCCACGCAGCACTTCCTTTTCTCTTATTGTTTTGAATTGCCGTTCATATGAATGAGTCATTCAAGAGTTTGGATCATTACTGGAACTGCTTGCTCCATCTGCTCAGACTTCATTCACGATTCCCCTCCAAGAGTGTCAAAGTGAAGCGCAGCGGTGGCATCAGTTTATGGAGCTCAGACTGTGTCCTCAAACCATCCGCTCTGGTGGACGCAAGCAACCTCTGACCTAGACGTGTAGTTTAATGAGAACCCATAGGGTGAAATCTCTGTGTGTGTGTGTGTGTGTGTGTGTGTGTGTGTGTGTGTTTACTTAGACTGGAGCACGTGCCAATTAAGTGCCAGCGCTGTGTGTGGAATCGGTCTCAAGACGAGGATGCTGGACTGTGTTAGAAGTGACGGCAAATCTGTTGACCTCAAGTACTGCGAAGAGGTTTGTGCATTTATTTACAGACGCTGCCCCTTGTGAATTTCATTATTTTCTTCTCAGCAGAAGTAACTAGAGTTGCTCTTCCAGTACCAACAAAAGAATAGTGTTAAAGATTTAAGTAAGTTGGGTTTTACACTTTGATTCTGATATGACTCGTATAACATATATTGTGCGCTTTATCGTAAGTTGTGCGCAGTGTTACAATATTACAGTGATGTCATCACTGTTGGTTACATTTCGAATAGTGAACATTCTATCAATATAAGTCATTGGGAGATTTTCTTGAATATATAGTTTACAAAACAGATACAGCTTCTGAAATTATCTACATTTGATTGGATTCTGGATGTGAACTGATTCAAACTAAATTAATTTACATGAAATTCTGAAGAAGAATAACTATTGTAAAAACAGTAATATTGTAAAATATTATTACAATTTAAAATTATTGTTTACTATCTGAATATATTTTAAAATGTAAATCCTGTGATGCAAAGCTGAATTTTCAGCATCATTCTCCAGTATTCAGTGTCTCAAGTGTCAGTGTCAGATATCATTCTAATATGTTGATTTGCACAAGTTTTGCTGCTGAATATTTTTATGGAAACTGTGAAAACATTTTGTTTCAGGATTCTTGATGAATAGAAAGTTCAAAAGAACACCATTTATTTGAAATAGAAAACTTTTGTTACATTATAAACATCTCAGACTTCTGTCACTTATATACATATACATACTTATATACGTTGCTTATATACATTTATAAACATCTCTACTGTCACTTTTGATTAATTTAATGCATCTTTGCTAAATATAAGTATTAATTTATAGCAAAAAATGTAATTTTACTGACCCCAAACTTTTAAACCGTATATTCCACAAAAAATATGCCTTAGCAAACACCACTAAAACATAAAAAAAAATAAAATTTTAAAGTCTCTAAATCTACACTTATGATGTTATAACTATTAATATGATGTTGAGATCCAGTGAAAAAGAAACAAGGTTATTTGGTGCCATTTTAAATTGTGGGTTAATGTGAAAAGAGATGGCAAAAGATCAGTCAAAATCCGACAGCTCTGGTCACTTTAATTGGACCTTGTGGGCGATAAATCATATGCACGGCATATTAACCCTGTAACCCAGTTTTCAACCAGCCCACTTTGTATCAGGGTTAGAAACCTTGTTAGCGTTGAACACAACTACCCATAGTAAAAAAAAAAATTATATCTCAATTGTTTCTAATAAAAAGAAGTGTGATTAAACTCAGACCATATGGCCACTTTTGTTGAAGTCTTCGGCTTCTCAGATGTTTCTCTTTTGGAATGACCTTTTTTTCACAAATGCTAAAGATACAATGTGTCTTATTTCCTTCTGCAGCTGCGCTTAGAGAAGAAATGGCAGATGAATGCTTCCTGTACGGTGGAGTGTCCAGTCAACTGCCAGCTCTCTGATTGGTCAGCATGGTCAGACTGCTCACAGACCCGTGGCCTTGAAGGTAAAGCCAAATAGACTTCTTACTGCGGTGTTAAATGTGTTTGTCATATACATTTCCGTTCAAAAGTTTGGGGTCAGTTAGATTTTGTAATGCTTTTAAAAGAAGTCTCATATGCTCATTAAAGCTGCATTTATTTGATCAAAATACATTAAAACAGTAATATTGTGAAATATTATTGCTATTTACTATAACTGTTTTCTATGTTAATATATGTTAAAATGTAATGTATTCCTGTGATGCAAAGCTGAATTTTCAGCATCATGACTCCAGTCTTCAGTGTCGCATGATCCTTCAGAAATCATTCTATGATGCTGATTTGCTGTTCAAGAAACATTTCTGATTATTATCAATGTTCAAAACAGTTGTGCTGCTTCATATTTTTGTCGAAACTGTGATACATTGTTTTTTTTTCCCAGGATTTTTAATGAATAGAAAGTTCAAAATAACAGCATTTATTTGAAATAGAAATCGTTTGTAATATAAATACCTTTACTGTCACTTTTGATCAATTTAATGCATCCTTGCTGAATGAAAATTATTAATTTCTTTAAAAAAAAAAACATCTTACGGTCTCCAAACTTGTGAATAATGGTATTAGTCTCAACCCAATATATTTGATCACAAAATTAGAAAACACATCAAAATAGCAAGATCAAATCAAATTTTCTGCCTGAAGTGCAACTTTAAAGTAAAGGACAATAAAGCAAAACAATGATCTTGGTGTCGCTATAGTGCCATGCTCACCTGAGACTAGGTAAGTATGTAGGCTGTAAAATTAAGCTTCTAGAAAAAGAGAAGAAAGACAGCATTGGAGAATGGAGCTAGAATTTGGAAACACAAAATGAAATGGTGAACTTTGTGAAAGTACTGTTCAACGAAAACAGATGGAAGCAGCAGCACTAGATAGAAACTGACAGTCTGCCTGCCAAACACTTCCAAGATAAGGCAGAAAAAGCAGAGCGAGACAGAAGGCGGTGTATTGTATGCAGTTTTATGCTAAACACATGTGGGATGAGCTAGAGAGTTATCTGAGACTGCCGTGCCTTGAGCTAGAAACTGAAAGATGAGTGTGTGGAGATGTGTGTGCATGTGTGCAGAGCACCAAATATGTCAAAAACAGGTTCAGGTCATATTTCACTCTGAAAAATCTAAACTTTTGGGAATTTTTTTTACTCATATAATATTCACTATCATTCAAAAGTTTGGTTTTTTTTATTTATTTAATTTTATTTAAAGAAATTAGCTATTTCATTCAGCAATTTATCAAAAGTGACAGCAATGGCATTTGTAATGTTACAAAAGATTCCTATTTCAAATATATGCTGTTCTTTTGAACTTTCTATTCCAAGAATCTGGGGAAAAAAGTATCTTGTTTCCACCAAAAAAAAATTATAATTAAGCAGCACAACTGTTTTTAACATCAATTATAATAAGAAATGTGTCTTGAGCAGCAAATCAGCATATTAGAATGATTTCTGAAGGATCATGTGACACTGAAGACTGGAGTAATGATGCTGAAAATTCAGCTTTGCATCACAGGAATAAATTATATTTTAACATATATTCAAATAGAAAACTTGTTTTAAATTTAAATATTTTTTACTGTATTTTTGATAAAAGAGCCTTCTTTCAAACATTAAAGAAATCATATTGACCCCAAACCTTTGTGAAAAATCTCCTTTAAATGTATTGCACACACACACACACAAACGATCATATAATTGTATTATATAATCATATAAATGTATTACTACATAAAACGTCATATTACCTTATTTTTGCTGTGATACAGAACAACATTTTTTGAGGTCAGCAGTTTCTTTAAAGTGCCCCTATTATGCCTTTTCGAATATTACCTTTCATGCAGTGTGTCATGTAGCTGTATGTGAACATAAACTATCTGCAAAGTTATGAAGCCGACAGTGCACGATAAATAAAGTTATTGTCTATCAAAAAAAGAGTCGGTTCGCAATCGCCTAAACGAGTCGTCAGGAATTCGAATCGTATTCTGTTACGGCTCTACGTCACGAAGTAACACATTTGCATTGTTTACGAATCATTTAGAAATGAGTTAAAATTAAATCTATTTTTTGAGAAAACTAATGTGTTTTTTAACCTTGCATGCATGTAAACCTGTTTTAGGAGACTCATAAAACAATATTAGCAACCTAAAAAATGGCATAATAGGGGCACTTTAAATTGTATTGTTCTCTGTGGAACTGAAGCTCAAACTCATTTCTCTGTCTTATGTCTCAACTCCTCAGGGAAGATGTGGCGCAGACGGACGGTGGTTGAGGCGTCTCAGGGGGATGGCAGGCCGTGTCCGTCTCAGATGGAGCAGTGGAAGCCATGTCCTGTGCGACCCTGTTACAGATGGCAGTACGGCCCATGGTCCGAGTGTCGTGTTGAGGTCTTTTTCAATTCTTATAGATCAAACGGCTGAATGTAAATTCACAGATCAGAGTTCATTAAATTTGAACTTAAGCACTGCATTCACATTAAGAAAAAAAAATCAAAGTTTGGTGAACTCGGACTTGCAAAGGTTCTAGGTCAAGTCTATATTTCACAATTCACGTTTTTGTGCATTTTTCTCACTGAAAATCTTTAGAAAAACAAATAGTCAATGTCAAACTATCCACACTAAGGTTCACAATACTACCATATTCAAATGTTTGGGGTCGGTAAGATTTTTTAACAAAAATTCTGCTCACCAAGCCTGCATAAAATACAGTAAAAACAGTAATATTGTAAAATATTATTACAATTTAAAATAAATGTTTTCTATTTGAATATATTTTACAATTTAATTTATTCCTGTGATCAAAGCTGAATTTTTAGCATCATTACTCCAGGCTTCAGTGTCACATGATCCTTCAGAAATCATTCTAATATGCTAATTTGCTGCTCAAGAAACATTTAATATTATCAATGTTAAAAACAGTTGTGCTGTTTAATATTTTTGTGGAAATTATGATTTTTTTTAGGATTCTTTGATGAATATAAGGTTCAAAATTTTTCTTCTACTGATCTCTATTGTGACTCATGAAATTCAAACATGTTTATTGAACTGTGTTGTAAAATGCTAAACACCTCAGTCGCCCAGCGGCACACGCTCTGAATGCGTTAACGACCCGCGCTGGAACTCCTCGCTCTTCCAACACCTTGGTTTCCAATCTCGCTGTCAACCTCGTCTTCTCTTCTATTATTCTCTCTGATCCTCCTCCGTTTCAATCCTGCTTTTGATCTTTGGATTTAGGAAGTGTTTATGACTGCTCGGCGCTCACATCTGAACCTGTGTGTGTGTGTGTGTGTGTGTGTGTGTGTGTGTGTGTGTGTGTGTGTGTTGTAGGAGGTGGTGTGCGGGGTGGGACTGCGTTTCCGGAACCTGTCATGCTTTGTATCAGACGGCTCCGGCGATGGGAAGAGCAGCATTGTAGAGGAAGAGCTCTGTGCTGGATTGGAGCAGGCCGTCGACGGAGATAAAAATATTATTCTGGAGGAGACCTGCACTTTACCCTGCCCTGGTAACAGACTAAAACCACACAGGATACTTGATCTGTGAGGCCATCATTGCATGCAAACTTATTGGGGAAAAGCTATGCATAGATAGATAGATAGATAGATAGATATCTGTAACTAGCATAGTATCTGTCTGAAACATGCTAGCAATGTGATGATACCAGCAACTTCATAGCAACACTCTAGCAACCATCCAAACCAACCTAGCAACCACCCCAAGTACCCTAGCAACCTATCTATCTATCTATCTATCTATCTATCTGTCTGTCTGTCTGTCTATATATCATTTATCATCTGTCTATCTATCTACAGGTATCTATCCATCCATCCCTCTCTCTCTCTCTCTCTGTTTGTTCTAATAAACTGTATTGCCTTCAAAACAGTCAAACTGTAATATTTAAAGTTACTTCAAACCGACAACTTTCAAACTTTCTGGTCTGGCTTTCTCAAGCCCACTTCACTTTGTCTTGACAAACTTTTTTTATCTATTATTTCTATTATAATTTCTTATAAATATTTACTTATACAGTAATATTGCTGCTTGTCGCTGCTTTCTATTCAGTTTTGCAATTACAGTTTTGTGTGTTTTTTGGCTTTATTTAATGTAATATACATTTTTCATTTCAGGTTTAATGCTGTCACCCTGTTTGAGATCTTCATTGTTTTTGTGCTACATGTGTTTTCAAATATATAATTTAATAACGTCTCGGTTACGTATGGTAACCCTCGTTCCCTGAAGGAGGGAACGGAGACGTCACGTCACGAGAGCCCACGAAGAGCGTGCTTGACTGTAGTTTTCACTACCTTAGACTTAGGTCAGGAGCAGAACGATAGAACCGCTCGGCTCCGAAGCGAAAAGCTGAATATGCGCTGCATCTGCTGCCTACTTATACTCACGCTGTGATCAGCAGCAGCTGGATGCAATAATCGCATGCCAATGTGCATTGGCTCGTTTAGTTTACACTCGAAGTAGATTGGTCTCTCTAAGCGAGATCCCAATTCGTCGGTCATCCGACGTGACGTCGAGAGTGACCGACTGAAAGGGAACTGTGTAATCTAAAATACATAATCTAAAAAAATATTACACCCTTAAATAGCTTTAATGTACTTCTCTGCTTTATAAATATGTTATAATGTAGCTAACTTTCCTATAAGGGCAGACTGACAACATTTGAACTAAAAAAAAAAAAAGTTGTTGCATAGCAGACTACCGTTTACAGGAACCTCCTCTTCTGCTGTTATCAGTGTTGTGAATGAAATGGAAAGCTACTTCAGATGACTCTGTTGATCTGTTCAGGTGACTGTTACCTGATGGAGTGGTCCGACTGGAGCCCGTGTCAGAGTGTGTGTGTGAAGGGTCAGCGTTTGGACTTCACTCCGGTGCAGGTCCGTTCACGTGCCGCCATCGCACAGGAACCAGAGAACATCGCTCAGTGCCCCGATCAGGAGTGGCAGTCCCGGCCCTGCAGCTGTGAGAAACATGCTCCTCCTCTCTCATTTGCATAAAGACACTGCTTTACTCTGATGTTATTCAACATGAATCATTTTAAGAATTTAACATTTAATATTTAACACATATTGTTTGTTTTATAATGGCATCACCTTAGCGAAAAGAAGTACACTTGAGCATACATATAAAAAGAGTACTTATTATGGAAATAATATACTTTGTGATGTAATCTTTCAGGACACTCTATTGCATGTTAATTGTAATTATATGTATTATAGTTTAAATTTATATGAAATGCAATTCGTTTTTGACCCACTTAAGTAGGATATAAGTACAACTTTATATGTACAGTAATTGCAAAATTACTTGAAGCATTTTTGCTGAACTAAAATATACTTTGTCATTTCTATGGAAATGTGTATGTCATGTGTTTAAATGTGTATAATTGCAATTAGTTGCAATTTAGTTCATTGAAAATATGTTAACTTTTAAATGTAATATCAAACAACAAACTACAGTTAAAATTATAATAAAGTACTTTACACGTGCTTTAGTACGTTAGTCAACACATCAAAATAAGTATACTACTTTAAAGCACAACAAAACAATTAAAACAAAAGGATTTAAAAAAAAAGCTTTAAAATGAAACTTTTAAAGACATTGTTACTGTGCATAAATGTGTTGAGAAACATGAAAGTGTACTCTCTGCAAGTGCACTTAAAAGTGCCTTTTATTGCATTAATATTATATTATCTGCAAGTACAGTTTTTAAAAATGTACTGTTCAGATTTAAAGTACACTACAAGTGCACATTGAATACAATTAAGCATATTTCTTTTTCACAATAGCATGTATATATTTATGTACATGTATTTAAGAATTGTACATGAAATGCAGTTGGATGTCTACGGCCTGATTTGTTACAAACGCATTCTCTTTTAAAGGCATGGTTCACCCAAAAATGAAATTTGTGTCATCATTTATTCACCCTCTACTTGTTCCAAACCTGTATGAGTTTCTTTCTTCTGTTGAACACAAAAGAAGATTATTTTGAAGAATGTAGCCATAGACTTTCATATTATTATTTTTTTCCATACTGTGGAAGTCAATGGCTATCGTCAACCATGCACTTGGTTCACATTTTGGACCATTTTAATAGTTTTGGTACTTTTAAATAAGATTGTATGAAAACACCTTTATCAGGTCTCTCTACAACTGTGACGTGTACGGCTGCAGAATGTATATTTATTCTCTTGATTTCCATCTAGTTGGTGAGTGTTATGAGTACCAGTGGATGGGCAGTCCTCAGCTGATCTGGTGTCAGCGCTCAGATGGAATAAACGTCACAGGTGCTATACTACACCGCTTCACATCTGTTTCTTTAAGTCACATGAATGAGCAGCTGACGAGGAATTACAGATACCAATACATGGTATATGTATGTACATACAGAATAAAGCAATGAGTACATCTTAGGTCCTATCAGCCTTTTTTGGTAACTTTTTTTTGCCACTTTTAAATGCCTTTTTGCCTTCAGTTTAATGGTCCTGCGGTGTGATTTTATGTAGCTTCTGCATAAATGAGCTCATGAAAGCTGCTTGCATAACAATTATAAATGAATTAGCAAAGTGCTCTTTTAAATACAGTGGTTTTAGATGGAGTATATTATCATGACACACTACAGAACATGTAGGAGACTCTGATACCAGCATCTATGCAGTATATACTGTAATATGTATATTGTGCAAAAGATGCCCATCGTGTGAAACTACTAGCACATATGCCCATTTCTAATTGACTGATTACTTTCTGCCGAATGGAGTTGTTGTCAAAAGCTTGAAAATGATCTGTGCCCTGTTATTTCTTCCAGGTGGATGCCCTCCAATGCTCCTGCCAGGGACGGACCAGTCATGTGATCCACCTTGTGACAAACCACAGACATTCTGCTCAGAGGTAAGACACAAGAGGACTGTGGGATTACGGTAATTCTGAGCCTGGGTGTCTGTAACTGCAGACAGTTACTCCAGCTGCAATTATCATAATGAATGCAACAGAAAATCATGGTCGTAAGCTGTGCTTTTGTTTTTATTTTCGGATACAGTTGATCTATATTTTTGAAGCATACTCAATTAACTTTTTATATGCTTGCTAGACTCAGACTTAGAATTATTGCATACAAAATCATGGCTGCTCAAATGATGTAATGCTTTTGAATTGTGCATGCTTTATAGAATAATTTTACTCACAATCCCTTGCACAAAGGAATTTGGTAACTTTTTTTTGCCACTTTTAAATGGTCCTGCGGTGTGATTTTATGTAGCTTCTGCATAAATGAGGTCATGAAAGCTGCTTGCATAACAATTATAAATGAATTAGCAAAGTGCTCTTTTAAATACAGTGGTTTTAGATGGAGTATATTATCATGACACACTACAGAACATGTAGGAGACTCTGATACCAGCATCTATGCAGTATATACTGTAATATGTATATTGTGCAAAAGATGCCCATCGTGTGAAACTACTAGCACATATGCCCATTTCTAATTGACTGATTACTTTCTGCCGAATGGAGTTGTTGTCAAAAGCTTGAAAATGATCTGTGCCCTGTTATTTCTTCCAGGTGGATGCCCTCCAATGCTCCTGCCAGGGACGGACCAGTCATGTGATCCACCTTGTGACAAACCACAGACATTCTGCTCAGAGGTAAGACACAAGAGGACTGTGGGATTACGGTAATTCTGAGCCTGGGTGTCTGTAACTGCAGACAGTTACTCCAGCTGCAATTATCATAATGAATGCAACAGAAAATCATGGTCGTAAGCTGTGCTTTTGTTTTTATTTTCGGATACAGTTGATCTATATTTTTGAAGCATACTCAATTAACTTTTTATATGCTTGCTAGACTCAGACTTAGAATTATTGCATACAAAATCATGGCTGCTCAAATGATGTAATGCTTTTGAATTGTGCATGCTTTATAGAATAATTTTACTCACAATCCCTTGCACAAAGGAAGAAGAGCAGTTTGTGGATGTTTTCTTTCCACTAGGGATGGGGGATAACATTTATTTCTCTTGTAAATAAGAGTACTGAAGGGATCATGTATTTTTGTAGGCCAATGCGGAAGTTAGCGTCATCCTGGTTCCCTCGGCAAAAACTCAACATGTTTTTTCCATTGGCTTTTGGATTACTGCAGAAAATAAGTTCTGTGACCAACAAAAGCTTATGATTCTTACACATTTTGTTCATCAAGATGCAATCACCAGAAGTAAAAAGCTATAAATGAACTATACCACGGTCACATGACTTTAACATCACCATCACTAAGCTTCTGACAACTCTTGGAAAGTTGGAGAGTTAGAATATATTGCAAGAGCATGATTATAAACCCAACAAGGTTGTAAAAGCAGACTAGTGAGTAGATGAGTTTACCTGTTTGGCTTGATGGCGTTTAATGAGTCCAACAACCTCTGTAGTCCCCATTTGGCCACTTATTAGCAACCGCATTATTTAAAACATGTAAAATCACAAGTGGGGCATTACTGATGTATTTCATGTCATCTTAAACGTGTTAACCACAAACACTTATTTCAGGCATTTAATCAAAAACCATTTAAAAAAACCCATTGACTTTGAGACGATGGAACTGGGAGTGCAAAAATGTCTCTGGTTTAGGACTCTATTGGGTGTGAATTGGGTCACAAGCCTTGAGAGCAAGCAGAAAGCATGATCTTATTTGTGTGTCTTTGCTGCCCCCTGCAGGAGGGCGTATGTATGTGTGAGGAGGGCTATACCGAGGTGCTGACGGCCGAGGGGATGCTGGAGCAGTGTACACCCATCCCTGTGCTCGAAATCCCCACTGCAGGGGACAAGAAATCTGATGTGAAGACCAGCCGGGCCATCAACCCCACCCTGCCCACCACGGTACAGCCTGGCCGTGTCGGACGCACCTGGTACCTGCAACCCTTTGGACCAGGTAAATGTTTAATTTCCATTTCTTTAGTCCAGTATCTCTCAAACATATTTTAATAGTGCTGGTTTAAGTTCTCTTAGGAAATTATATTACTCAGCAAACACTTTTTAAGTAATCTTTATCAGTCAACAATGAATCCATTTTTACGGAAGCTTGTTTTTGACATGGGAATAAAACATTTTTTAAAAAATCTGACTTTTTTTTTTTTTTATATATATATATATCTTGCAATTCTCGCTTCTTTTTTTTCCCCTCTGAATTCTGATTTTACATGTTGTAATAATTTTTCCGCCACAAAAAAAGGCCAGAATTGTGTGATATTTAATTCTGAGAAAAAAATAATTATAAGATGTCAATTCAGAATTCAGAGAAAAAATTCTGAAATGCAAGATGTAAAATGAGAATTCTAAAGCAAAATGTTAGAATTGCAAGATGTAAACTCCCAATTACAATTTTCTAACTTGCAATTGTGAGATATAAACTCGAATTTCTGAGAAAAAGTAAGCATTGTGAGATATTTCCGTGGTAGGGAAAAACAGGAACTGTGATATGTAAACTCAAAATTGCTAGTTTAGAACTTGCAATTGCAAGATATAAACTTGCAGTTCGAAGAAAAAAAAGTCACAATTGTGAGATATAAACTGTGAATTCTAAATAAAAAAGTCAGAATTGCGAAATATAAACTCACAATTGCTAGTTTAGAACTTGCGATTGTGAAATATAAACTCTTTGCAAGGAAAAAGTAGTCAGAATTGTGAGATAAAAAGATGAAATTACCATTTTTATTTATTTAATTTTTTTTATTGGCTCTTTTATAGTATTTCAACATTATACAGTTTTGCATTTTGCTTCAGTTTAATGGCCTGTGCTAAAAAATCTCTTGCCTCTTTAGATGGAAAGCTGAAGACATGGGTGTATGGTGTGGCGGCAGGTGTCTTTGTCCTCCTGATATTTATAGTGTCGATGATTTACCTCGCATGGTAAGAAAGACAACCCTTTCCGTTCGCTTCATCACTCGTTTTATTTTCCCATTCACTCCATGCATTCGTTTGGTTCTGTTTTTCTTTAACTCACACCCCACCCTCATCCATGCCTCCCTCGCCGTCATGAGCAGCAGTTACTGTGCCATCCGGCGGTCGCTCGGGACGCCAGATTCTGCCAACGGTATGATGTATGGATGGGCCAAGACGCCCATGAGCTGACATACACCTGCCCTGAGTGCCAGCAGCCAAGTCAAGAGTCAAGAGCCAGTTAAAGGCTGGAGAAACGGGCTCCTGATGTCCTGACATCTCAGCCCCCTCTGCCTAGTGCCTCCACCTCAGTCTGTGCCTTACGTTCTGATGCTAAACGCATCAAGCTGCCCGGGTAGGCTGTTTATTTATGGTTTACTGGTTTAGAAAAAGATTTTTTAAAAATTGCTCTGTTGCAAAACCTAGTTGGCTGCTTTGGTTCCTACTGCCTGCATAATGCCTTTTAAACATGGTTATTATCAGTAAATAAAACTAAAACCATTTTTTTAAAGTAATTACACAAAATTAGTGTTAATTTCTATGGAAAAATATTTGTTTTTTCCATAAGACAACACCATTAAACACTGTGACGATATCAAATGCAATATCTTGGACACGACTAAAATGTAGTTTAAGAACTAAAAAATCTCTATATCCATATACTGTATATAAAAAATAGAGATAGAACAAATATAAAAGAAATATAGACCTCCACAAATTTTCATACTTGAGGTTGCCAGATGTCAAGTTTAAATCCCCCATTAGAGCTTTTGTCTTAAAATCCAAACATATATCTCAACTATATTGTTAGCGACCGTGGTTGCTGAATTGTCTTTTGTTGTTGTTGTTGTTGTTGTTTTAATAGAAAAAACATTGCTTTAATTATTGGAATTAATATTAGGAATTTTGCTATTTTAGCTTTCATAATGTAAAGAGTGTGTTAATTTGTGATAACTGAATAAGTCAGGAAACTATCAAACGAACATTATCGGGTTGTTTAACCATTTTGCAGCATGTCTAAAATATGAAACAGAGCTAGGACTAAGACTAAATAATAAAAAAAAAAAAGCTGCCAAAAATATGTATATATACATATATGTATATATGCATATTCAAAACACGTACACATGCACAGACACAACAAAATTACAAAAAAAAAACTGTAACTAATATTAAAATATAAAAATAAAATCTAAATTAAAATAAAATGGTAAATAATAGTATAAAAAGTAAATTAATTGTAAATAGTACTACATAGTATATTGTAAGTAGTATATAATATATGTTATATCAGTGATAGTCCAAAAATAGTCCACTTTTTTCATAAAACTTTTTATCAATTTTTAAAATCAACATTCCTCTTACTTTGTCAGGTTTTTTCACTGATATGCCGTAATGCTTTTTGAATTGTCTACTCTGTGATGGATACATGTGATTTTGCTTTAGAATTAGGTATTTCAATAGGCAGCATAATCATGTTTCCTACGTTTTGGAACAGACTTTGCATCTATTATACCTGAAAATGTTGCCTATGTGGGCAACTAGCTTGGTCTTGTAGCAGCAACTTTTTTTATGGTCATATGTTGCAATAATGCTGAAAACAAATCAGGCCAAAGTGGTCTTTAATGAAGTCCAACTGCTTTGCTCCTATCAGGGCACCGATTATATTTCATCATTCATGACTGAACCATTCCTGATCATCGTGATTTTTCATCATCTTGTTTTTTTTACACATTTCATGATTTCATTTTTGTATCATATACCATAATATGCATATGCATATATAATATACACTGTGTTTACGTAATATAAAAAGTGTTTTCACTTAAGATAGCATATACACACAGTCTGTGTCCACACTGCAAGGTTTTGAGAGTGACAGCCGCATCATTCTTTTGTCCTCAGCAAAAAGCCAAAGAAACCTCAGCGAAGACAAAACAATAATCGATTGAAACCCCTGACCCTGGCGTATGACGGAGATGTGGACATGTAGCCTTTCTCGGAAAACTAACGTCATGAAAGTATCATCAGCAAATGGTTGAATCTCATGAAAACATGGGTCACATTATACCCCAAATTCTAATGAAAAAAAAATGCATAAAAGAAACAAAGTCTATTTTAGCACCTTTGTACATCGTGATATTTTGAAAATGGCATTATTTATTTATTAATGAAAATTAAGCACTTTCTTCCTAAATTCTTTTTTTTTTTAACTGCCATGCATCTGAACAATTTACTTGGTGTTTTTGTAATTCTCAGTGTTGTCAATGGTGATTCTCTTTTTTTATTTAAATAAGAATAAACTAAATGCAGTATAACAAATATTATGATTTATTAATTCTTAATTAGTGAAATATAGTCAAATATAAGAGTTATTACTCTTACAGTAATAAGAGTTTGGGGTAGATGTGCTTAATTCTCATAAAAATATCACAATGCAAATAGTCTTTAGGCATGAAAAAATATAATTTCTCATTTTTTTACTGTTTGTATTTGGGGTGAAGTATGACCCAGAAATGTTCTTGAGATTCACCCAAATAATCCTCCAAATGGGATATGCCTAACCATCTCAAATACTGGACCCTAAATGCTTGAATCCAACCTAGAAGAAGAAGAAACATCCAAGAGCCGCAAACGAAAACCTTCATACTTCGTACTGTTTTTACTTCATGTTCTTGTTCTGGAAGAGCCTTTACACACATCTCCAAACGCTGTGAGATCATGCCTTTGTTTATATTCAGTTCCTTACAAGTATTTGTCAGTTATGCAACTGCGGTCAAGCTAGTGGTCTTCTATACGACGGGTCAGGACCTTATCAGAACAACTTTCTTCCGACTTGTGCTTCCCAGCTGAGAGGATTCATATTTTTGGAGGGAGTTATTGAACAGACAATGCCAAAACACACAGTAGAAAACACGTAAGGAAACTTGTGAACTTCAGATATCATGGACAACATTTGCTCACAGAAGATGCAGCCTTTCTATGGAAGGTGAAAACAAGACAAATCATGTTCTCCTGGAAGTCCCACTCTGATTCCAGGTATTATTTTGCACTATATTAGTGCAGCAAGGAAAGCATTTGCCATTGAACAATGTTTCTAAACCGACGATTCTTCAAGGCAACCGAATATGAATCTGGAATTTGCCATTGAACAATTTTTCTAAACCGACGATTCTTCAAGGCAACCGAATATGAATCTGGAGCACATCAATGAAAGTGTAAAAATCAATCTCAGAGTGGGACTCTTTAAAGACCTCACGTCCTTTTGTTTTCACTCATTTGTGCATTGTATAGTTTCTATGATGTGTCTTTTGACTGACTTTAAATATGTATTTTTTGTTATAGTTTTCCATTCAGACATTTTTTATATTAAATGGTCGCTATACAGTTGTTGGGAAAAAGTGGTTGTGACAGTATTATGACTTTTGATTGGGGATTTATGCCCCATTTTCAATGTCTGGTTTCTAATTACACAAATGATGTACGTGTCAAAACAGTGGGTCTCATGGGAAGACCGATAGTTTTTGCCTTATTATTGATAAAAAAAAAATACTGAAGTATTGTTGCCAATTCTCACAGGACAGTGGACATGCAAAATACAGTAGCCCTACAAAGTATTTGGACACGGAAGATACACTTTAAAGGGGACATTGGATGAAATTTTCACTTTATTTTTTTGCATTTAGTTAGTTTTCTGGCATGTCTGCCAGCTCAGAAAAGCTGAAAAGAAAACACGCAGCCAGTTTGTATGACATGTCCAGTGTAGTCCTATTCCCGAACGGATGAGTCTTGTGAACTGATACTTTATACTGAATCAGAAACATAAAATGTGACCAGTATAGTCAGATTCCCGAGTGACTGATCCTTATGAACCAGTTATTTTTAGTGAATCAAAAACATACAACTTGTCCTTTGTTTTCCATTTCTCGAACGAATGACTCTTGTGAACCAGTGCTTTATACTGAATCAAAAACCTATTATGCAACCAGTGTAGTCCGATTCCAGAGTCATTGACTCTTACGAACTGGTTCTTTCTAGTAAGTCAAAAACATATAAAGTGTCCAATGTAGTCAGATTCACGAACAAATGATTCTTATGAACCTATGTGTGACTATTATGAGTGTGTGTGTGTGTGTGTGCTTTATAAACCAATATATATTATAATATATAGGCCAATTATTACATTGCATTTATGCTGCTTCTAAGAGGACTGTGAAAACTCATCAAAAATACAAAAAAGATTAGGTCATAAATTTATTTTTGAAATCATGTCATTTTAAAACAAAGTGAATTTCACTCCGTTTGGTATTGTGTTATCTAATGCAAAGACATGAAGTGTGGCTGAAGTGTGCAAATACTTTCTGGGGTCATTGTACACCTGTAGCACTTTTGTTGGATATATATATATATATATATATGTCAATTGTCCAGGGTTTAAGTGGAAATGATTTAATGATTGTGGTAATTGAACATTGGCTAATGAATGATGACGTCAATATAATTAGTGATTTGAAAAGTGGGTGGAGGGATTGAATTGCTTTACACACTGAGGAAGGCTTTGAGCCGAAACGTTTGTGTCTTTTCCCATCAGTAATGAATGTAAAATAATATATGTATATATATATATATTACTGTATAGTATTATGACATCATAAATATAAGCTGTCTCATGCACTTGCAACAAACGTACAAAGCCATCACACAGTATGATTTTTGACGTTTTATTATTCAGCAGATTAAATAGTATTCCATTTTTATATCCTTAATTTATTTTCAAATGGTTATACATTACCCTTCTTCCCCTAAAAAATTACAAAATGCAATGAAAAATAAAATACAGTGTGTATGTATTCATGAAATTTGATTTGATTTGAATTTAACCTGTTATATATATTTTTTTTAAAACAAAGCGTGACTATAATATTCCTAAAATGTGATAGTCTATGAATCCTGCTGAAATCTTCCATTCAGATAGTAGTAATATAGAAGATGCTTTTTATTGGTCAGCTCTCCTCATTTTCCCCTAATTCATTTACGCTGCTACATTAGAGTCGTTTCACCCGGCCGTCCTGCTAGCAGCTGGTGAAATGAATGTTTAGATTTATTTGTAAATAATGAGTATTAAATCATATTCATTTCTTTTCTATCGCACAGAAATGTTTAGTACATTGCAAAGTGGTCTCGCTGATCTTTGTTGATTATAGTCATATTGTAAAGTTCCAAGGTCTTTTTTGTACAGCTTATGTTTCCTGATCACCTTCAGGTAATAAATACTGGTGTATTAAACATGTATGAAGGATATTTCGTATATGTTTGTGAGTTTGTTTAATCTTTTATCCACTGTATGTAGACAGATATGATGGGCGACATGCATTAGGAATGACTCTATTAATGAAAGTCATAGGATTGGTTGTTTCGACATTCATAGGCGTTCCTCCCTCATGTGAGCGAGCGAGCGTCTGTCAGTGTCAGATGGAGCTGAGTGACCATGTGTTCACAGTGCAGAGCAGAGCAGAGCCTTGCATCAGGAAGATCAGCTTCCCCTGAACTCCACTGAATCCCGCTGAGAATTTCACAGGGATCAGAACGGCTGCGAGGGAAGTTCAAGAGTCAGAAAGCTTCTAAATGATGATTGTGAGCAGTTTGACGTGTCTTATGATACTCCTCTCCATTAATGATGTAAGTACATTTACATTTGATCATTAATTCTTATTCTTATCTTTGCTGCGGGTGTTGAACTTGCTCTTTGATGTATTTGGCTGTCTGATGTTCAGCACCACGGACAGCGACAGGCAGTCAACTCAAATCCTTAAGGAAAACATACTGTACTTGATTTCTATTGGAATTTGGAACCGATCCTAATAGGATCAATTACGAATCCTGTAAGAATCAAATAAGATGTGGTCAAAGATTGAAACACCGTTTATGAGAGCTTTATGCAGGATGGATTAAATGGAAAATATGTGAACACTGGTATTTTTTTAATATCAAACGCTGAAATTGAACCTGGAATTTCTACAGTATTTTTTAGTTTTTAATTATACTGGACTGCCTTATTATTAAAGAAATCACACTGGGAGCTCTAGGTGTAAAATAATTCCTTTGTAAATCAGGTATTTCAGTAAATTACTCTAAATCATACTCTAAATTCCGTGACCATATATTTTGTGTTTTGGGTCTCTACAGTTAGAACTAGTTATAGAACCTATTTGGAAGATTTGATTTTTATTAATAAATGTAACATTAATTGAAATAGTTCTTGAATTGTGTTATGGAATGTTTACGAACTTCCCATTAGGATCATCTAGAGCCAATTCTAAATTATAAAAGAAATTCCAAAAGGAATATTCTATAAACATTCTTGATATTTTTGACCACCAAAAAAAAAAAAAAGTTTAAGGTGATTTTATGGTCTTAACTGGTTTAAGATGGTTCACACTGATCTGTAGAAACCAGCTAAAACCAGCAAACCACCTTACTTTTCTTTAACTGAAAAGCCCTCCTATTTATATAATAATCATTAATGATGGATCTTGATTGCATGAACAGGTGCAAGTAGATGCAAATACATGCTGCTGCCTAGTTTCATTTCTGTTAGTGATACTTTAGTGGAGGAATTCTAATGTAATGGTTGGTTAAGAATATCATATGAAGGAACATACAGTATTGGTCATCAATGTTCAATTTGCTGTGATCAATAACTGTTCAGAAACGTCAGCAATTTTGCCAATCATGTTTTCAGATGAAAACATTTTTTTTTTTATTGAGAAAGTATGAACAAAGTAGTCTCATGTATTGTACTTCCAATTGCAATTTATCATTCACAGTGCTTTTAGAGTGTTCTCCAGTATTCATCAGACCAGCACTTCTCATCAGATAGTGTTAATATTGTAATATTCCAGCATGGTAAGCTGAAGAACCAGAAGTAGTATTTTGTTTTCGACTTGTGTCTCTCCAGTCGTGCCTCCTCCTCTCGCTGTATAAGATCCAGCTCACACCTCAGACTGAAGATCGATTTGTCTCTAATTGAAACAGTGTTGCAGTAACTCTGCCTTCATCTGATTACGGCACTGTTTATGTGAGTTAAATCACGACTTACTGATTTATTCACTAATATTCTCAACACAATCATGGATTCTTTTTTAACTTTAGTCGGACGCTGGTTTCAGAGGTAGCATCTCCCTCTGGGAATGTTTTAGATGAGTTACAGTATGTCATGAATTCATCCTTGCAGGTGAATTTCATTCCTCTTTTCACTGACTTGCTGACTGCACTGTACAGAGTGAAAAAATACAGGTCTTTCTACCTGATACAGTCCTTAGAAATGCTTTCAAAGGTGTAGCATAAGCATATTATTTTATAAAAAGCATGTTTTTTAATAATTTATTTTAAAAAATATATATATATTAATATATATATTATTATCATTATTATATATGTTAGAATTTATTTACATTTTAATTTTAATTTTAAAAGACTTTACATTTCTAGAAAAAGTATTTAAAATATTTAATCAAACAGTAGTATTTAAAATGTTTTTTTTTAATATATTTTAATGAAATACTTTTTTCTAGAAATTTTCTAGAAATCTACAAAGTCTAATTTGTAATTAGTTAATATGTAGTGATTATAATTAACTTAAAAAAAATACTTATAAAAAAAGTAGGTAAGTGGTAGGTTGAAACCTCTCAGTAGAACCAACCAGAACAGTAATGCAAAAACTCAAGAAAACTGGAAACTGTGTGGAACTGCTTGAGACCTAATCCATTAAACCAGCTTCCTGTAAATCTGCCATCGGAAAGCCGTAATCCTGCCCGGAGCTGTTTGGGAAAACTGTCAGTCTTCAAATGAAGTTAATTATGTTTCACAGCATTCTGCCACTAAAGCAGCATGTCTGACTGTATTGTGTATCATAAAAAGTAATTCTGAAATGTAAATGAGGCGAACGAGAAGAAAGGTTTTTGTTATCTTCCTAAAATTATCTCATCAACTCATCACTGCAGGGGGCTGGAATTAGATGATGGTTGTTTTTTCTCTACTGTCACCTCTGTGCAACATGTTTGTCATGATGATCTATCTATCTGTCTATCTATCTATCTATCTATCTATCTATT